CTGTGGTATCCACAATGGGGCTGAATGCAGGCTAGAAAGGTGGCTGACTCCTGTTTTAAGAAGTTCTACAAGGTGTATCTGCTCCAAGTTTTCCTTTTGCTAAGCCTGAAAGGTCACATTTGCCTAGATGGCTCTTGGCTTGCTTGGATTAATATGATGTGATTATAAAGTGTTGAGAACGTGAACTTTGGAATTAGACTGACCTGGATTTCCATGCAATTCCTCACCCACCACAGGGTGACTGCACATCACTGCCCTCTGGGAGCTTCATGGGAAAAAGATGTTATTACCCTTGGGGTTATCGTGAGACCCACCTGAAATAATCAGGCAAAAGTCTTGGCCCCTGGCAACCCCACCATATCCTCATCTAGACATGGCTAAGTAGACGGGACACCATCTTCCTCTTCACCGTGCTTCTTGCCATCTCCCCAGAGGCCTCTATGAGACCACAGTTGATGAGACCACAAGTGGGTTTAAGAGTGAGGCACATCCACTGAACCATAGGATCAGAAGGGGATGGACTTCGAGCCAGATAGAAAAGCTTCTGGGAATAGAGGGCTAGGCCTGTGGACAAAGCTGACAGAGAGCTCAACGAAACTGGGGTGTGTCCTGGTGCAGGGTCCCCCAGTAGGGAGACTAAGCTCAAGAATGAGAGTGTAGGGGCTGGTGAGATGGCTCAGTGGTCTAAAGCACCTACTTAGAACAAGCTAAGCCAAGCAAAGCACAGGGACCTCGGTTCAATCCCCCAGCACCACATGCCAGCCCGCCCACCCCCTGGTGGGCTGAGCTGGCCACACACAAAATAAATAAGTAAATAAATAAATAAAGGTATGTGTCCAATTTAAAAAAAATAAAATAAAATAAAATAAAATAAAAAAAGAATGAGAGTGTAAGAAGAGCCAGGAAGGAGTTCTGATTCCCACACTCCTTGTTTGTTTGGTTTTGGTTTTGTTTTTTTTTTTTTGTTTGTTTTTAATTCTTTTGATACAAGGTCTCGCTACACAGCTTGGACTTGTAATGATCCTCCTGTTTCAGCCTCTCCAATACTGGGATTACAGGAATGTGACACTACGCCCAGTATTAGCACCCAGGATTCTGAGGTCAGCATGGCATGCAATGCCAGGGATCGAACCCAGGTCCTTGTGCTTGCCAGGCAAGCACTAAGACCACTGAGCTATCTCCCCAGTCCACTAACCTTGTGAGCAAACTATAGCCCTCAGGCCAAAGCTGGCCCACCACTTATTTTTGTAAATGAAGTTTTATTGACATGTAATTGTGACTGCTTTTGTGCTACAAAAGCAGTTGAGCAGTTGCAACTCAGGCTCTGCCATACAAAGTTTAAGATATTTGTTCTTTAGCTTCTTGTAGAAGAAGCATACTGAGCCCTGATCTAGAGGACTTCATGCACATAGGCTCCAGTAAGTGGCAGGACCATGCACTTTGGAATTAGTTGGACCCAACCGTGATGTGAATGGCACCACCTAAACTGTGCAGTGTGCAAGCTCATCAACCGTAAATATCAGCCCTGCTTGAGAACTGACTGCAGGTTTTTGAGGGATCAGGAAAGGGAAGAAAGCAGTGTCTGTGAAATGTCAGCACCTCACAGGGGGACCATATTTCCTGCTGGAAGTCAAAAGCACGAGGTTTGGGAGGATCTGAGCAGCCAGGGAGGTGAGTCTAAATTTAGATTCTCCAAAGCCGATTTGTAAAACAGAGCCCCAGGGATCCCAGAAAGGGACAGTTGGCATGTACCATCTTGTCTCTGCTTTGCCTCTGTGTGTTAAAATCCCGGATGAGTGAAAGAATAATTAACGGACTTCGAATCAACCATTGCCGGAGTGAGGAGTCAGAGGTGAGCTAAAGCCCCGTTGTCCTGAGTCCTGAGTTTTAGTACAGGGCTTTCCATAGTAGCCATGGGAGCCCTGGCTGCCCTGGAGGGAGCTGCATGCGCTCCTCCTGCTGGCTGTCCTGCTGAGCTGTCCTCTAGCACAGCTCAACAGGCGACCTTTCTGTCTTGGGCAGTGAATGTGAGCTCCCGAGGTTGAAATCACACCTGGGGTTCTGAGCCGCTTTGAGCCACTGTCTGCGTGTGGAAAATGGCTGGGCTTTGTCCTGAGCAAGTGCTTCACCCGGAGAGCTGTGGAGCCTTCTCTATCCCCTACAGAGGCTGCGTTCAGATGCCAGGCTGTCCCTATCCGGTGTGATGGGTCATGCTTCTCAGTAATCATGCCCAAAATGAATCACTGATCTAAGATTTCACAGGGGTGAGATGTTTTGTAAATCATTCCACTTGTGGAGAATGGCAGAGGATTTACAATAAATATTGCAGAGGAACTGGGGAAGGAAGTTTAAAAAGATTTGAGAAGAGGGACAGAGAATTAGGCAGACAAGGGCTTCCTGGATAGAGAGCTGGAGTTCTGAGAGAGACCAAGAGGGTGAAGTTCAGGGGCGTGGGCTGGTTGAAGCGGTTGGGCTTGCTGTGAGAAGAGCAGCGGGAGTGGGACACGCAGCTGGCCTTCTAGGAAATGTGGGTGGCACAGTTCTGCAGGCAGAGTCCATGGTACTGGGGATCCTCCCCATCCACAGCTTCTTTCTCTGTGCACTGTACTTGTGAAGCCTGAAGTTGAGCTGGAGGATAGATAAAATGCTAAACAACAGCCCAGGTCAGCATATAGCACGTGCCAGATACAGTACACAGGTGAGCACTGCAGGATGTTAGAAAAGGAAGAGATGTCATGAGAATTGCAACAGCCACTTCAGAGAAGAAGGGAGGCCTCAGCTGGATTCTGAGTGATGGACAAGATTTCAGCAAGTGGGAAGGATGCTGGAGAACATTTCAGGAACCCGGAAGGCTTCAGCAGAGAAGTGAGGCAGGAGTTAAGAGTATATTTAGAAGCCCAAGAGGAAGGAAGGTGGTGTGGCTGGAATTGAACCCCCTTGAGATAATGTGGTACCTGCCCACTCCAGCTGACAGCTTGTTGGGAAACCCACTGAGAAAGACATCTACACACGCAGTCCCTCCCACATGTGAGAGGAAAAGGAAGAGTTTAAAAATAAATGCAGTACCTCTTAATTATTCACATTATCTGCATTGCAGCAATTTCCACCAAATCCTTTCAGCTTGCTGTGATGTCATAGGGGTCCATTCCTGTCTGTTTACAACCATTGGGAACTGGAATGGGAAAGAAGCTTAGCTGTCTGTCCTTAGAGAGCAATATATGTGATTGTCTATCTTGGCTATGTCCTTGGGAACCAGATCACCCACGTGGGTAGAAGAGCAAGAAGCTTACCTGGCTTGGTTGCAGGAGTCAGAGAACAGACAGAATGGGGATGCAGAGCTCTTTGGTTCTCCTGAGTTTGGCTAAGAAGGTGGCCCCAGCATCACCCCTAAGTGGCCAGGCATCCACGAACAGCACAAACAGTACTCACCTATCCATGTGTGGAGTGGCTGTTAGCTCTGGAAGCATTGAAATGGTGCTCACAAAGCCCTATTGTCATCATCTGCAGTGAAATCCTGGACCAAAGTCTCTAGGTAGAGATGTTCCCAGTATTCAGAGATGGAAGGATGAATGTCAGTTATTCACTAATGGGGCTTTGTGACAGAACGCTTAATAAATCTGGCCCTTCTGAGTAAAGGCCGATAGTAATTCTTAGAGAGGCCAGGCAGGCCAGTACCATCCCAAGTTAGGGACCATGGGACGTGTTCGCTAAGATTGCTTCCCAGGATGAAGTTCTGTAAATCTATGCTGGTTTTGCTGCTGGACCCAATGAAAACTGCAGAGTAGAGTCCCTAAAGATTTGGCAAGTCACCCCCAAAGTTAGCAACGTATTATTCAGATGTAAGAAAATGTCTGACAGCAGCAACAATAGGTGACATCTGTGGAGCACGTGCTATTTTCCAGGCCCATGGCAAATTTCCTTCATACGTTCTCAAAGGAAATCTTATTACTTACCATTTCTGATCATCTGTGTTCTGTAATTTCCCTCCTCAATTTGAGAGTATTGGGTTCTTGGTTGCTTTTGCTTCCTTTATCATTTGCAGACTTGTGCAGAGTTCAGGTAGGAAAGTGTCCCTACAGGGGCCCCTGTGTGTCATGAGAATTGAGCACAGCCAGGTTCCTTCTTTGCGCTGGATATAGTGTCCTTTCCTTATATATTAGGGGCTGGGTGAATGTAGAAAACCTGCCACTTTCTTGGAAGCTAGAGTTCAGAGTTCTGAGCTGACATTGCTAGTTTTGAAGGGTTCTTTCCTCTGAAGTTAGGTCCTATGCCTGTAATCTGAGTCTATAGCCACCAGAGCAGAGCAGTCAAGTTTGCATTAGACCCATTGCTTTAAGGAGCCACAAGGCTCCTTCAGAGAGAACACTGCCCACATTGCCAGGCCTGGTATAGCACCGGGACGTCGGTGCCCTCATTTCTGAGCAGAGAGACCTTTTTATGGGTAGGAGTATAGTTTCCTTGTAATTTTGTAAGTGTGCTTTTGCCCTAATGTGGGGAACAAGCAATACCGGTGTCACTAAATCTCAGTCCACACAAATTTCCTCTTAAAATATTAAAGGGCATTTGCAAAAGAAGAAAAGAGGCCCACATGGGAAAACAAAGACTGTTGATCTTTTACTTTCTGTCTGCAACTAGTTCTTTTTGACTTCCTAGCTAGTGCTGATGTATGGGTTTCAAAGGCATAACAACTTAATTCTGCAAAGCTCAGAAGGGATGACCCCCACCCACAGTCTGCACACACTAACCTTGGGGGACAGGCATTGACATAAAGGGCACACTGTGTGATGGCCTTATCAAATCAACCCGTCTTCCCTGTCTACCAGGGAGCTCTGCACACAGCAGGGAGGGTGGCAAGCTGTGCGAAGCTGGAATCCCCTGAGCAAGCAGTGTTTCAGCTGGCTGGACAGATCAAATAACACTTGAGCTAGTTAACAAAAGATGCAGTGGGAAGGTGTTGGAGCCAGAGTGTGGAAATTTACCCAGCATTGTTTCTTTGACAGGGAAGGAGACTCGGCCTGAAGTGTGCCACGTTCCTGCAGGCTCTTTGCGGACACCAGACATCTCAGTCCAGGTGGTGAAGGAGTATGCTGCCCACATCCAAAGGCTCTGGAGGATCCTTGCCCAGAAGGACTCGGGACATCAGGCGTAACTTGTGTAAAGCACACGAGAAGTATTTGGCTTTCTCTAGCTTTTTTCCCAAACCACACTGGTTTGGTTTTTGAACTCTAAGGTAAGCTGATTTTTAAAAAGCTGACAGAAATAGAAAGAAGCCCCTAGACATCTTTAGAACTCTCTGACAGGATTCCTTCATACTACTGAGTACATAGAGGGGGGCTCTGAATCAGCTGAGCTTTGGGCCCTTTTAAGTAAAGGAATAGAGCTCAGCAAACAGCTCCTGCACTTGAGCCAGAGACCGCCTCTGACAAAAAGGAATTCAAAGGGGAGAGATGCTGCACATTGTACTGTGAGATGCATGGTGACAGGAAATGTCACCTTCCCCCAGATAATGATCCTAGATCTGCAGAAAGGATGAGCCATTGCAAGCATCAGGGAGGACTTTGGGAGCAGAAGAGTTAGTGGACAGCTGTCGCCACCCCAGTAAGGAAGACACCTGAACAACTCAGCCAGCAGGGAGCTGCGCCAGGAGCAAAAACATACCTTAGCTGCCGAACTTTGCAAGATGAGGTGTGCTGGAGCAGCCACTAGCCAGGACTTGGCCTTTCCTGCCTGCCCCTTCATCACATGGGCAGTCCTAGAGCACTGAGCCACAATGGCCGAGAAGGGTGACTGCTTCGCCAGTGTCTATGGGTACGACCTTGGTGGGCGCTTTGTTGACTTCCAACCCCTGGGCTTTGGCATCAATGGGCTGGTGCTGTCGGCCGTGGACAGCCGGGCCTGCCGGAAGGTGGCAGTAAAGAAGATCACCCTGAGTGATTCCCGCAGCATGAAGCATGCGCTGCGGGAGATCAAAATCATCCGGCGCCTGGACCACGACAACATTGTGAAGGTGTATGAGGTGTTGGGGCCCAAGGGCACCGACCTTCAGGGTGAGCTGTTCAAGTACAGTGTGGCCTACATTATCCAGGAATACATGGAGACTGACCTGGCGCGCCTGCTGGAGCAGGGCACACTGACGGAAGAGCACGCCAAGCTATTCATGTACCAGTTGCTCCGTGGGCTCAAGTACATCCACTCTGCCAACGTGCTGCACAGGGACCTGAAGCCCGCCAACATCTTCATCAGCACAGAGGACCTTGTGCTCAAGATTGGGGATTTTGGGTTGGCAAGGATCGTGGATCAGCATTACTCGCACAAGGTATGTCTGGCTGGAGAGGCTGTGGCCAGTGGCCTGTAGAATCCTGAAGAATGAACACATTCCAGACAGTGTCCCTTGAGCCGTGGTAATCAGAGGAGCACAATAAATATTTGGGGGAAGCTAGAAAGTGCTAGAAAGGTCCCTGGCTTGAAAAGCGTTAGTTGGGGGTGGTGCAGAGATCCGATTCCTAGTCTTGGTTCTGTCACGTGGCCGTGACCAACTCCAGGCTGTACAAGAAGGTTGGACTAGATGACCTCCAAAACTTCTTCCAGCTCCATGCATTTAGGATTGTGTGGTTGGAAAGTTTGCTTCTTATGTCCTCTTATCCCTGCTGTCCACATAGCCATGTCATGAGCCTACTGTCTGCTCAGGATACCTGGTGAGGCTTCCTATCCTATGAGCCTGGTCTGCTTGGTCTCACCTGCTCCTTCCTTTCTGTGTCCCTTTCTCCAAGTCAGTGGACAGTGGGAAGGGATGGCTAATCTAATACAAACATTCACTGTGCATGATTTAGCTAATGATTCAGTTCAGGGATCCATGGTGCCCTTGCCCCTTGGGTGGTAAGAAAGCCATGGTGTGAGGGTGCCTGCTGTGATCCCCGGTGGTAGGAAACTTAGCTCCTCCCCCAGCCACACAGGTCAGAGCTGAGCTGGACGCACTGGTGGGGACAAAAGTCATACTGGCATTGTTTTCCTTTAAGGTCTAGACAGCCTTCTCCTGCTTGATCCCTGTCCTTTCAGGAGCTGTGAGTTCTCAGACATTCTGTCCCTTCTTCTGTCCAGGTTCCTGTCATTTGGGGGGTGCCTGAGCCCCCCAAGTTGAGCATATCACCAGGGTCTCCTCAACAGATATTAGCAAAGTGATTTCCAGCCTTCTATCAAGAACTTTGTACTTTTGAACTCTTTATTAGAGTAAAGTGTCCCTGAGGACGCTGGTATACCCTAAACTATTAACAGTCAACAACTAGGGGAGGGTCATGAACAGCAGAGGAAGCTCTGACCTTACATTTGCTTTTCTGTCACTCTTGGCCCCTGTTCCACCGCTCTTTCTTCTTGTCGATCAGCCTGGCACAGGAGGTCCCTGTCCTACCTTCACTGGCTAGAATTGAGGCTCAGCCCAGTCCCCACATCAGCATAGCTGCCTCGGGGTCATTGGTACCACAAATACTTTGCCACCTTCCCCAGGCACTTGTCCTCTGCCCTTTTTCCTGCAGTCAGGCCATCTGTCAAAACCTACAGGGGACTCTGTAGGTAGAAATATCAGTGATGAAAAAAAAACCCCAATAAAATAAATAGGACACTTTTCTGTCTTCCTATTGCCCTGAGCTGTTTCTTCCATTTCTTTCTTCTATTGAGTAATAACTCCAAACAGTTGAACCAAAGGTTTTAACCCAAATCAGTTTTTATTTGGCAAAAGACTCAGAGAATCCATAAAAACAACTTTTGAATTGGAACAAACCAGTGCATTAGAGAATCAGTGTATTATGAACAGTCTGTTTTTGTTTTATTTTGTTTTGGTGTTGATTTGATTTAGATTTTTGCACAGGGGTCCTGCTACACAGTTCAGGCTAGCCTTGAACTCAAGGCAATCCTCCTGTCTCAGACTCCTGAATACTGTGATTCTAGATGTGTTTCACGATGGCTAGCTGAAGGGGGCTGACTGAGTGAAGTGTCACAGGGCAATAATTTAGAACAGCATGTTGTAGCCTTCAGTGTAGTGGGAAAGAGAGTTTGGTGTAGTGATGATTGATTGCAGTAATAATTCCAGGAGGATGGCATGGTGTAAACAGGCACCACTGTGAAGAGTTAGGGCCTGGGCCCCTTCTGATGGTTGTCAGCGTGGATGTGAATGGTCCTTCAAGCGTCTGTTTCCCCATCTTTGACAGAACTAATAATCTATTCCCTGTTTGTCCCTCTGGCTTGTGGTTAAAAATCATAATGAACACAAATGCAAAATCCCTTGGAAAGCAGTAAGGACTCCATCCATTCATTTCATGGGCATGTGCTTAGCACCCACTGAGCTCAGGCCCATGGGAGAACTGGGCCTCAGAGAGGAGGGTGGGGCTGTGGTCCATGTTGTTGTCTTGTCAGGCCTTTCCCATGTTGGGACTTGCATTTTTCCAATGCAGAAGAATTGAGATGTTCTGACTTACTCTTGTTGGGCTCACTTCAATAAATTTTCTGTATGAGGTTAAAAAAAATAATTGGAACTGGTGACTAACCTGGTAGTGCCCACATCATCCCCACGCTGCCGGAGTTGGCGGATGCCACCCGCCCCCAGCCTGTTTCCTCCCTTCTGAGCTCTGCTTTTAGCTTCCTGCCCTCTTTCCCCCAGTGATGATGAAAAGGCTTTATATTTGGTGCTTTTATTTATCCAATGTGCATTTAAATCAGTTCTCATTTAATCCTCATAATGCTGTGAGGCACTTAGGGCAAATGGTCCATTTGAAAATGGAGAGAAATGACTTTCTCACGCTTACACACTGAGGTAGCAGGAGGGGCCCTAGAACTGGGCTCTCATATCCTGCTGAGGGGGGACATTTGGTGTACCCTCTTCTTGAGGATGTCTGCCTGGACTCTGGATTAGAATTAACCTGTCCTTCATCTGAACATCCCTGTCACTTTTCCTGTCCCATAACCTGCACTTTCTATCACTCATTGTTCTCCACCGTTCTGCGCGTTTGTGTCTACATCTGATCTCTCCCAGGTGGAACATCCATGCTTCCATACCTCTTGATTTTTCACTTGGAGTCTGACCACTGTGCCTAAGACATGACCCTCAAATACTTTTGTTGACTGTACTGAACAGATAGAAGAATGGCCATCTACTAACTTACTGCAGACAGAAAGGTGCTGGGTTGGTGGACTCCATGTAGCAAGAAGCTTTGAGTCTCAGAAAAAGAGCTTATCATTTTTCCAGACAGTGGATTTGTGAGGGTCAGACATATGCATCTGCTCTTTCCAGTGTGCTTGGAGAATGATGTCTACAAGCCAAGCCCTCTCAACTTAACCTAGACTGCGAGCATAGCTCAGGAGGAGAGTGCTTGTCTAGCATATGCTGGGTCCTGCGTTAAATCCCTAGTACCATTAAAAATAAATAAATAGGCTTAACTTCTCCTGAAGTTTGATGGGTCCTGGTTTTCTTTGAGGAAGACTAGGTTCATCTGGGCTGCTTCTAGCACCTTTCTGTGCTTACAAAAGAGATGTTCCCTTTGCCAGACTGATACAGCCCATTGCCAGCGATAGGCTAAATGGTGCCGCTAGGGACTAGATTGAGCTAAGTCTACTCAGAGCTAAGTATGACCCACCCAGCACTATGGAGCAGCCTGGCTCTCACCCCTTCCATCTTTCTCATTAGGGGATAACATGGCTTTTCACTTCCATATCCCTTTATGTGGCACAGGGCCTGCCATGGGGCTGTGGCCCATTGTGCTGCCCTGGGAAGGAGATGCCAGAGCAGACAGACTGCTCTGCAGTAATGAGCAGCTGACCAGATTGGGCTCCAAGCCACAGTCAGCGAGCCTTGTGTGTTCTTCCACCGTGCCACCTCTGCAGCATTTGCAAGGTCAGAGGGTAGCTTAGGGCTCTGTAGCCAAGAAGTGGGGAGATGGCTTTGGATGGCCCTGGGGAGGCTGCTCTGATGGCTTTCTCAGCAGAGTCAGCCTGGAAACACAGCTTCCTGTGTTATTACTTCATGACTGATGTGTGACCTTGAACGAGTCCTTTTTCTTACATAGCTGATTCCTAGAACCAGAGACCTATGAAATGACCTCATAATTGCCTAATCTATCTCTTTCATTTCACTGATGATAACACCAAAAAAAGACGAGCCCTGCTGGTCAGACACAGTGAGTACTGAGCACTGTTTTGATTCAGTGTCCATTATTTCTACTGAGCCTCACTCTTCCATTATGTTACCCACCAAGTCATCCCCATTCCTCTTTTTTCCCCTAGCATTCTCGTTAGAGTCAAATGAAAGTGTGGATGTCAAGGTGCTTCCAGATGTACAAAGGGCTAAATCACTAACAACTCTTTACCCCAGTAGATGCCATAGTTATAATTACCAGACACCTAAACATCAGTTCTCCCTGCCACGAGAAGAGCACCCAACTTACCTCATGGCCCAGGGGTAAGTCAGGAACCGCTGTCTAAGCCTGGCTTCTCTGCCTGAGGTCTTACTAACTTCCTTTCTGACCACCTTTTCTGCAGGCCAGCTAATTAGTTTCTTGTTATTTGTGTCAAGAAGAGGTAGCTGAATGATCAGAGCAAAACATGAATCTATCCTATTAGGAAATAGATGGTCTCAAAGAAAAAAAAATAGGTCGTTAAAGACTTCACTGAGCCCTATGTAAACTCTAAGAAATGTCAGGACCCCCTTGGAGAGCACACAGAGCTGGAGAGCTGTATGTTGACAGCCTGATTAGTGGTGTGAATGCTTTTCTTCAGGAAAGGCCACCCATGGGCTGGAGGAAGAACCACCTTTCATTCTGCCACAGGGCCCCTGCTGGGGCTCCCAGGAGACTGCCAGACATCTGGCCTCTGTGGGGGCATGGGTGGAAAATACCCAGGAAAGAAAGGAAAAAGAAAAGCCTCATCTCAGTCCAGGGAACTAGAGGGCTTCTATTTGGGTGGGCCATTGGAGCACTTCTATATCTTCTGTTGGACTGGCCTACCTTTGAGCTCTAACCCCCTTCTGTTTCATAGATTATGTCTTCTTGCTTCACTCACAATCATAATCCTTAAAAAAAAGCAAGTAGCTCGGAGGTTCTCGAAGTGTGGTCCCAGACCAGCAGCTTGAGTTTTACTTGAGAGTCCCTTAGAGACATAGACTGTCAGGTATGTCTCAGAATGAATCCAAAGCTGTGAGACGTAGGCTCAGCCGTGTGTGTGTGCCAGACTCCAATGGGATTCTCATGCTCCTGACGTCTTAAGGGCTGCTGATCTGAACCGCCTGTGACAGACATGGGGCCCACTGGCATGTTTCCTGATGTTTCATGTCGT